GACCACATACAGGCAGATACAAATCTTACATACAATCTGGTGCACTCTAATACAGGCCATAGACGGTTCGTTTATCGGCTGATTTTTAAATATGGATGTGGGCTTGATTTTAGCCTTTGGCCAATCAACCCTTGGGGGTGTTCCTGTACCAGCCACAGGACGTTCTGAAGTGCCCAAAGTCGATTGAACCAGGAACGGTTTGAATTACCAAGTCAGGGATAGAATTTCTGACACCAGCGCATCAGTCCGATGTAGATGTACTGCTACAGGGCCGCTGCACCATGCAAAATCCCCGAAACATACGGGATTTAGCATTTTTGGGTAGAGGGCACTCACGCACCACCCTACCAATGCTACAGTTGGTTCATGAGGATGTCAATCGCTGGGTCCCGGCCAGCGATTCCGGGCTGGGAATCGCTGATCGTCGGCGAAGCTGAGAGGGAAGAGATCGTTGTGTAAACAACACAGATCTCTGCAGTCAGCATGGAGTTGCTGCTTTCTATCTCTCTGCACAGCAGAGAGAAAGAAAGCAGCAAGTCTCTCTAGTAAAAAAAAAGCACACTGCCATTTGTAGACACAATAACTTTTACATAAACCAATTAATATACACTTATTAGGATTTTTTTTTAGCAAAGACGTAGCAGAACACAGTTTGTCCTAAATTTACAAAGAATTTTTTTGGTAAAATTAGCACGGTATCGCAAAAAATAGCCTGGTCAGGAAGGGGGGTTTGCTTTGCAGAAACACCATTCAGCTGCAGCGCTGACCTGTTTATTCTGATCGGTTTAAGTACGTGCAGCACTGCTGGATGAGATTTTTCATCCACAGTTAAAAAAGAACATATATGCCCAAGCATGGGGACCTGGGGTGGTCAGTGGGTGGATCGCCCCTATGCTTCGGCATATATTTTTTTCATTTTTTCAGGCAGAGATTTCAATTAAAAAGGTGCCCTTTTATTGAGATAATATTCTATTGTTACTGCGCATTATTGTTAACTGTTGCTGTTTGCTTGCAGGAACACCATTTCAGCTGCAGCGCTGATCTGTTATTCTGACAGCAACAGGGTTTTGCTCTCAGAATATACGAAAGTGCGTGCAGCTCTGCTAGATGAGATTTTTCATCCGCAGTTTAAAAAATAACATATGCCCAAGCATGGGGACCTGGGGTGGTCAGTGGGTGGATCGCCCCTATGCTTCGGCATATATTTTTTTCATTTTTTTTTTTCTGGCCCAACGAGTACCAGTGATGTACTGGTATGTCGCTGGACTTTGAGTGGTTATACTGGGATAATTCCTGCAGCTACAGGCATCCTCCTGGTATGGTTATTTTTAAGCCAACAGTCAGCTTTCATGGAAAAGCAAACCTATCGGCTAATTAGTCACTGGATTGCTTTGACAAGCAGTGTGCCCTCCACAGCATTTCCCAGATTAAAAAAAGCGCCATTTTTAAAATTGGAAAGCATCTGATTAAACTAATTTTGGTGTGATCTGATGGTTTAAAGGCAGAGGAGAGATCTATAGTCTATTAGAATCCAGGTTTCTCGGAAAAGAGTACCTATAACTGCCTATTGCTCTCATAGGAGATATTTACATTCCCTGTGATAACAAAACAAGTGATACTAAATAAATAGGTAAAAAGAACAGTGTAAAAAAAAAAAAAAAAAAATAAATAAAAAAAAAGCACCCATGCCCCCTCCCCGCGCTCAAGCACAAAGGCGTGCGCAAGCCCTGTGTTGATATGTAAACAGCGGTTGCACCATGCATGTGAGGTATCGCCGCAAACGTCAGATCGAGAGCAGTAATTCTAGCACTAGACCTCAGCCTGTAAAGGCTTTTAAAGTGTCACTTATGGATATTAAAAATGTATGCAGTTTGTTGCCATTGTATGGGGCATGTGCGGTTTTAAAGCATGTCATGTTTGGTATGTATTTAATTGGCCAATATATTGTGTTTTGTGCTAAAACCCAAAAAAGTGTATTTTTTCCCAAAAATACAGTAGAAATGAACTATAAATGTATGGCTAGATGGTGTATAACACTAAGGGTAGTCCATAAGCAGCAAGTAGAGATCTCCCCATTGTGTTGGAGAGGATGTGGAGAAGGAGGTACAATGGCACACATATGGTGGAGTTGCCCAAAAATACAAATCTATTGGAAGGAAATAATCCAATTTACCCAGGAAATATGCGAGATAACCTTGCAGAGAAGTGTTTATTTTATTATTTTGAACCCTCATTGGAATTACATAAAAAGAAAGTATTGTATCATATATTAAGTGCAGCAAAGGGTTTAATTCCTAAGTATTGGCAGGAGACCGAAGCACCAAAAATTGGAAACTGGATAGAAAGAGTGGAGGACATCTTTAGAATGGAGGAATTATATCATATGGAAGAGGATAAAATGGAAAAGTTTGGGAAAATATGAAATAGTTGGATTAAATTTAAAACCTCGGAAATATATACAGAATTGATTAGAGTAAAGGGAGAAGCTTAGAAACTTGGAGAATTATTATGGTATATCAATGAAAGAGATGAAATTAATACACATAGATAGGTATAAGAGAAGAACTAGAACGGGAGGAAGGATGTGGATTGAAAGATGTGGATGGGGGGATGGGAAGGGGGGGAAGCGATAAGGGGAAAATATGGGGTTATTGGAATATATATGAAACATTTATATAATTGATGAGTTTTTCTATTTTTTTTTATAATAATCAAAAAAAAATTAAATTAAAAAAAAAAAAAGAAAAGGCCTCGTCTTCAAGTGGTTGGAAAAGTGGGTGATGTGTGCTATTGTTAGGCATAAAATACCAGGATAGCACAAAACCCACCCAAATTATTCCTTTTTGGAAAGTAGATACCCCAAACTATTTCCTGAGAGGCATGTTGAGTCAATAGAAGAATTTATTTTTTACCACAAGTTTTGGAAAAATTCTGCTATGTCTCCCGAGTATGGGGATACCACATGTGAGAGACTTTTTGGCAGTCTAGCCAAGTACAGAACCCCAAAATCCAATAAGGACCTTCAGGATTTTAAAGGGATTTATTTCCTCATTACACTTCCTGACTACCTATCACGGTTTCAGACACTCTGAACTGCACAAACAGTAAAACCCCCCCTCCCCGCCCAAATGACCCCTTTTTGGAAAGTAGACATTCCAAGGTATTTGCTAAGAGGCATGGTGAGTATTTTGCAGATCATTAGTTGCCACGAGTTTTTGGAAAATGAAGAAAGTATTTTTTCTTTTTCAAAACCTTGTGACAAAAAATGAGAATGGAATATCTACTTTCCAAAAAGTAGTCATTTGGCAGGGGTGGGGGTTGGGTTGTGCCATTATGGCATTTCAGAGCCTCTGAAACTGTGATAGGAAATGAGTAAGTGAAATGTGGAAGTTACGCATTTTCAGGCTTTCAAAGGGGTCATTGAATTTTGGGCTCCTGCATGCGGCTTGGCTGCCAAAAATTCTCACACATGTGGTATCCCCATACTTGGGAGAAGTACTAGAATGTATTTTGGGGTGTAATTCTACAAATAACCATGGTGTGTGTAAGCAACATATTGTTTAAATGACAACTTTGTGTAAAAAAAAACAAAAAAACATTTTGTCATTTTCTAAAAACAAATCTTCCAATGACTCAACATGCCTCTTAGCAAACAGTTTAGGCTGTATACTTTCCAAAAAGGGGTATTTTTTTTTTGGGGGGGGGGGGGAGGGTAGTGCTATCCTGGAATTTGAGAGCTGAAAACTGTGATAGGTAGAGAAAGTAAAATGAGGAAATTACACACCTTCAGGCTTTCAAAGGAGTCATTGCAGTTCGGTCTCCTGTATGCATACTCGGGAGAAGTGGCAGAATATGATTTGGGGTGTAATTCTACAAATACCTATGGCATGTGTGTGCAATATATCATTTAAGTTGTCATAATCCAAAGATTTTTGGTGAAAAAAACTTCCATTGGCTCAGCACACCTCTCAGCAAATAGTTTTGAGTGTCTACTTTCAAAAAAAAGGGGTAATTTGGGGGGGGGGGGGGGGGGGTTGTGCTATACTGGAATTGAATTTCAGAGCCTCTAAAACTGTGATAGGTAGTGAGGAAATGAAATGAGGAAATAACGCACCTTCAGGCTGCCAAAAAGTCTCACACATGTGGTTTGCCCATAATCGGGAGAAGTTGCATAATATATTTTGGAGTGTAATTCCACATACACCCATGGCATGTGTGAGCAATATATAATTTAAGTGACAACTTTGTGTAAAAAAAAAAAAAAAAAATTGTGGTAAAAAAATAAAATCTTCCATTGACTCAACATTCCTCTCAGCAAATAGCTTAGGGTGTCTACTTTCCGAAAAGGGGTCATTTGGGGGGTGTTTTTGTACTGCCCTGGCATTTTAGCACCACAATAAATGTGATAGGCAGTCAGAAAGTAAAAGCTGTGTAAATTCCAATATCTATACCATAGTAGTTAAACACCATAACTTTCACACATATACACTAATTGGAAATTTTTTTTTACCAAAGACATTTAGCAGAATACATTCTGATCAAAATTTCTAACTAAATTGTAGTTTATTGGATATTTTTTAAAAACAGAAAATAGAAAATGTCATTTTTTTTTCAAAATTTTCTGTTCTTTTTTTGTTATATCGCAAAAGATATAAAAAAAATCAGTGGTGATCAAATACCGCCAAAAAGCTCTATTTGTGTGAAAAAGGACATAAATTTCATTTGGGTACAGCGTTGCTTGAGTGCGCAATTACCAGCTGAAATAGCAGTGCCGAATAGCAAAAAATGACCTGGTGATTACGGGGAGTAAATCTTCCGGAGGGCAAGTGGTTAAAACATACATTATATGAGTTTTTAGTGAAGAGATTCGGATATACTTTAATAAAATGCAGTTTTTAAAGTGAAACTCAAGTTTCGCTATAAAAAAAAACACATTTCCTGGAGGTCAGATATCTATGTACATGGCAAGGATTTTGCAAACGTTTCTTGTCACTCCTTACCTGCTTCTGTTTATGTAGATACTTGTGTAAGTCTTGCCAGTACTTTCCGATCATAGTCAGCGCTATAATAAGAAACGTTGCAGACTTGCCATTCCTTGCGATCCTTCTCCCTGTGTAAGGACATTTTAAAATGTTTAACTGCTATTGCAGGCAACACCTTTATAAAGATCAATATCTTGACAACAAAAATGGGTTCTAGAGTGTTGCTATTCAACAGTTGGAATGAACAGACGATTGTGATTTTAAATGACCAGTTTCGAAACGGATAACTTTTTTGCTATAGTAGAAATTCCCAATTTTCTTCACTGAACAGCTTGAGCTTATTTTGTTGAAAAGAATAACCTTGTTTGTTTATTTAGAAGGAGAGGTTTTATTGGGGTATATTTAGGCTTTATGCACACAGGACGTTTTGAAACTCTCCTAGAAGCCTCTCCTCCTGACAATTTACAGTCGGAAACCGTTTCTTCTACTGTTAGCACTAGCAGTGTTTTTCTTTTTGCCTCTAAACTCTTCTAAAAGCCCATATGTGCATGAACACATAGGCTATCAATACAGGGGCATTTACAGTCAGGAAAAACAAATGGCAGACGCCCCTAGGAGTAGCTGAAACAACGTCCAGTGTGCATGAGGCCTTAGAATAATTTTTTTTTACTTAGAGCCATGTTTAGAAAGTAGTGAATGTGACTTTCCACAAACATTCATAGGGACCCTGTGCAAATGAGATTTAAAAACAAACAAAAAAAAAAAAAAACGACAAACACATTAACATAACTATTTCCATTTCCAAACAATAGGGAATGTTTACAGCAAGCATAAATGTAGAAGAGGAATTCTGTTCTAACAGACAGGAGATTAAGCAAAGCTTGCCATCCTTAAAGTGATTGTAAACCTCTAACATGAAATCTGAACAAAGCTTTTTCCTTTATAATGTGTGCTTGTCTAAATCCAAAACAGTAATGCCGGCCATAGACGGGTCGAAAATCGGCCGATTTTTTCGACGAAAAAAAAAAAAAATCGGCCGATTTTCGCACGTTAGTAGGTTAATTGATCGGTCGTTTTTCGGGGTTTTTGGGCACATTTTTTATTATCGGCCATGTTTGGAAAATTCGCGGCCGATTTTGACAATCGGCCGATTTTCCCGGCAATGATGGGCAAATCGGCCAATCGTTTTACAGATAAACAATCTGTGCATGAACCATGACCTGCAAGAAGAAGAAAAAGAAGAGAAAAAAGAAAAAGAAAAAGAAGAGGAAAAAGAAGAAGAAAGAAGAAGAAGAGAGAGAAGAAGAGGAAAAAGAAGAAGAGAAAGAAGAAGAGGAAAAAGAAGAAGAAGAAGAAGAGGAAGAAAAGAAGAAGAGGAAGAAAAGAAGAAGAGAAAGAGAAGAGGAAGAGAAAAAGAAGAGGAAGAGAAAAAGAAGAGGAAGAAGAAGAGGAAGAAGAGGAAGAGGAAGAGAAAAAGAAGAAGAGGAAGAAGAGGAAGAGAAAAAGAAGAAGAGGAAGAGAAAAAGAAGAGGAAGAAGAAGAGGAAGAGAAAAAGAAGAAGAAGAGAAAAAGAAGAAGAGGAAGAAATAAAAAGAAGAGGAAGAAGAAAAAGAAGAGGAATTAGAAGAAGAGGAAGAGGAAAAAGAAGAGGAAGAGGAAGAGGAAGAGGAAGAAAGAAAAAGAAGAAGAAAAGAAAAAAGAAAAAGAAGAGGAAAAAAAGAGGAAGAAGAAAAGAAGAGGAAAGAAGAGGAAGAGAAAAAAAAGAGAAGGAAGAGGAAGAAGAAAAAAGAAAAGGAAGAAGAACATGAAGAAGAAGAGGAGGAATTGGAAGAGGAAGAAGAGGAGGAAGAGGAAAAAGAAAAAGAAGCAGAAGAAAAAAAAAAGAAAGAAAAGGAAGCAGAAACAGAAGAGGAAGAAGAAAAGGAAGTAGAAAAAGAAAAGGAAGAAGAAAAGGAAGAGGAGGAAGAAGAAAAGGAAGGGAAAGCAGAAGAAAAAGGAAGAGGAAGAAGAAGATAAGGAAGAGGAAGCAGAAGAGAAAGAAGAAGAAGAAGAGGAAGAGGAAAAGGAAGAAGAAAAGGAGGAAGAAGAGGAAGAAGAAAAGAAAGAAGAGGAAAAAGAAGAAGAGGAAGAAGAGGAAAAAGAAGAATAAGAGGAAGAAGAGGAAAAAGAAAAAGAGGAAGAAGAGGAAAAAGAAGAAGAAGAGGAAAAAAAGAAGAGGATGAAGAGGAAAAAGAAGAAGAAGAGGAAAAAGAAGAAGAAGAGGAAATAGAAGGAGAGGAGGAAAAAGAAGAAGAAGAGGAAAAAGAAGAAGAAGAAGAGGAAGAAGAGGAAAAAGAAAGAAGAGGAAGAAGAGGAAAAAGAAGAGGAAGAGGAAGAAGAAGAGGAAGAAGAAAAAGAAGAAGAGGAAGAAGAAAAAGGGAGAAGAGGAAGAAGAAAAGGGAGAAGAGGAAGAAGAAAAGAAGAGGAAAAAGAAAAGGAAGAAGAGGAAGAGGAAGAAGAAGAAGAGGAAGAAGAGGAAGAAGAGGAAGAAGAAGAGGAAGAGAAAGAAGAAAAAGAAGAGGAATTAGAAGAAGAGGAGGAATAAGAAAAAGAAGAGGAAGAGGAATTAGAAGAGGAATTAGAAGAAGAGGAAGAAGAAAAAGAAGAGGAGGAAGAAGAGGAAGAAGAAAAGAAAAGAAGAGGAAAAAGAAGAAGAAGAGGAAAAAAAGAAGAGGAAAAAGAAGAAGAAGAGGAAGAAGAGGAAAAAGAAGAAGAAGAGGAAGAAGAGGAAAAAGAAGAAGAAGAGAAGAAGAAGAAGAGAAGAAGAGAGAAGAAGAGAGGAAAGAGAGAAGAAGAGAAGAAGAGGAGTAAAAAGAGGAAGAAAAAGAAGGAGGAGTAAAAAGAAGAGGAGTAAAAGAAAGGAAGAAGAGGAAGAAGAAAAAGAAGAGGAAGAGGAAGAAGAGGAAGAAGAAGAGGAAGAGAAGAGGAAGAAGAAGAGGAAAAAGAGGAAGAAGAAAAGAAGAGGAGTAAGAAGAAAGGAAGAAGAGGAAGAAGAAAAAGAAGAGGAAGAGGAAGAAGAAGAGGAATAAGAAAAAGAAGAGGAAGAGGAAGAAGAAAAAGAAGAGGAATTAGAAGAAAAGGAAGAAGAAAAAGAAGAGGAATTAGAAGAAGAAGAGGAATAAGAAAAAGAAGAGGAAGAGGAAGAAGAAAAAGAAGAGGAATTAGAAGAAGAGGAAGGAGAAAAAGAAGAGGAGGAAGAAGAAAAAGAAGAGGAGTAAGAAGAAAGGAAGAAGAGGAAGAAGAAAAAGAAGAGGAAGAGGAAGAAGAAGAGGAATAAGAAAAAGAAGAGGAAGAGGAAGAAGAAAAAAAAGAGGAATAAGAAAAAGAAGAGGAATTAGAAGAAGAAGAGGAATAAGAAAAAAAGAAGAGGAAGAGGAAGAAGAAAAAGAAGAGGAATAAGAAAAAGAAGAGGAATTAGAAGAAGAAGAGGAATAAGAAAAAGAAGAGGAAGAAGAAGAGGAATTAGAAGAAGAGGAAGAAGAAAAAGAAGAGGAATTAGAAGAAGAGGAAGGAGAAAAAGAAGAGGAGGAAGAAGAGGAAGAAGAAAAGAAAGAAGAGGAAAAAGAAGAAGAAGAGGAAGAAGAGGAAGAAGAGGAAAGAAGAGGAAGAAGAGGAAGAAGAGGAAGAAGAGAAAGAAGAGGAAAAAAGAAGAAGAGGAAAAAGAGGAAGAAAAAGAAGAGGAGTAAAAAGAAAGGAAGAAGAGGAAGAGAGAAAAAGAAGAGGAAGAGGAAGAAGAGGAAGAAGAAAAAGAAGAAGAAAAAGAAGAGGAAGAAGAAGAGGAAGAATATGAGGAAGAAGAAAAAGAAGAGGAAGAAGAAGAAGAGGAAGAAGAAGAAGAGGAAGAAGAAGAGGAAGAGAAGAGGAAGAAGAAGAGGAAAAAGAGGAAGAAGAAAAAGAAGAGGAGTAAGAAGAAAGGAAGAAGAGGAAGCAGAAAAAGAAGAGGAAGAGGAAGAAGAAGAGGAATAAGAAAAAGAAGAGGAAGAGGAAGAAGAAAAAGAAGAGGAATTAGAAGAAGAGGAATAAGAAAAAGAAGAGGAATTAGAAGAAGAAGAGGAATAAGAAAAAGAAGAGGAAGAGGAAGAAGAAAAAGAAGAGGAATTAGAAGAAGAGGAAGAAGAAAAAGAAGAGGAATTAGAAGAAGAGGAAGGAGAAAAAGAAGAGGAGGAAGAAGAGGAAGAAGAAAAAGAAGAGGAGTAAGAAGAAAGGAAGAAGAGGAAGAAGAAAAAGAAGAGGAAGAGGAAGAAGAAGAGGAATAAGAAAAAGAAGAGGAAGAGGAAGAAAAAAAGAAGAGGAATAAGAAAAGAAGAGGAATTAGAAGAAGAAGAGGCATAAGAAAAAGAAGAGGAAGAGGAAGAAGAAGAGGAATTAGAAGAAGAGGAAGAAGAAAAAGAAGAGGAATTAGAAGAAGAGGAAGGAGAAAAAGAAGAGGAGGAAGAAGAGGAAGAAGAAAAGAAAGAAGAGGAAAAAAGGAAGAATAAGAGGAAGAAGAGGAAAAAGAAGAAGAAGAGGAAGAAGAAGAAGAAGAGGAAAGAGAAGAAGAAGAAGAAGAAGAAGAAGAAGAAGAAGAGGAAGAAGAAGAAGAAGAGGAAGAAGAGGAAAAAGAGGAAGAAAAAGAAGAGGAGTAAGAAGAAAGGAAGAAGAGGAAGAAGAAAAAGAAGAGGAAGAGGAAGAAGAGGAAGAAGAAGAAAAAGAAGAGGAAGAAAAAGAAGAGGAAGAAGAAAGGAAGAAGAGAAAGAAGAAGAAAAAGAAGAAGAGGAGGAAGAAGAAAAGAAGAAGAGGAGGAAGAAGAAAAAGAAGAAGAAGAAGAAAAGGAAGAAGAGGAAGAAGAAAAAGAAGAGGAAGAAGAAAAAAGAAAAGGAAAAGAGAAGAAAAAGAAAAGGAAGAGGATAAAGAAGAGGAAGAAGATAAAGAAGAGGAAGAAGATAAAGAAGAAAAGAAGAGAAATAAGAGGAAGAAGATAAAGAAGGTAAAGAAGAGGAAGAAGAAAAAAGAAGAGGAAGAAGAAAAAGAAGAGGAAGAAGAAAAAGAAAAGGAAGAAGAAAAAGAAAAGGAAGAGGATAAAGAAGAGGAAGAAGATAAAGAAGAGGAAGAAGATAAAGAAGAAAAGAACATAAGGAAGAAGATAAAGAAGAGGAAGATGAAAAAGAAGAGTAAGAAGATAAGAAGAAGTAAAGGAAGAAGAGGAAGAAGAGGAAGAAGAGGAGAGAGAAAAGGAAGAAGAGGAAGAAGAAGAGGAAGAAGAAGAAAAAGAACAGGAAGAAGATCACATCTAGAAAAGGAAATTTTATTCTGCTAAAGTGAATCGATCATAGGAATGGGAGGCACCTGAATCCTTCCTACGAACTAGAAGTCCAGTCCACTATTATATTTTATATGAAAAAGTCTTGCGGTTGCAACAAATGTATCTATTTGTATCCAAATAAAAACATTGTAATCCAAATAATGTATTTGTATTGCTGTCACATTGTATGGTGTGCTTCCGTCTCTGCAAGGGACAGAAGTTATGGGGTTAATGCCGGCCATAGACAGGTCGAAAATCGGCCGATTTTTTTTAACGGTGGTAACGTCGGCCAATTTTATTTTTTTTTAAAAATCGGCTGATGTTTGACCCGTCTATGGCCTGCTTAAGGGCTTGTTCACACCATGGTGCTTGAGACGTCAATTTTTCAGCACGCGTTCAGCAAGGACACAATGACATCAGTTGTTCTCTATGTGCCCCGTTCACACCACAACACTAGTATCACTTGCAGATTTGTTTCTGAGCAGGAATCTGCAACTTGAATAAAACTCATGTAAACTGATGTCTCTGCAAGAAAAATCTGTGCGTTAGTTTTTCTGCACGTATGGTGTGAATGAGGCCTTAGTGGCATTTCTGTTTGCTGCATTGTTCCTCTGCTATCCTATCAGCATTAATCATTTCTGACAAGATTTCCTGACACCAAGAAAAAAAAGGTGACAGGGGAGAGACCTCCAGCAGATTGACAGCCTCAGCTCTGTTCCTTTGAGCTGCTAGAAGGGGGATGTGTCCCTTCCCTCCAATCAGCTCTCAGATGTCTCCTTACTATGCTTTGCAGTGTGTAATTTCAGCCTTCTGCCCCCTTTTTTCTGAAAGCTCAGATAAGCTTTAAAAATTCTGGACTTTGAATACATGTAGAGAAGAGAATACTGCAGATAACTAGGCACAACTTACGTGGGAGGATTTGTTTCACCTCAGTGTACCACCTGAGGCCAGTCAATTCACTGGATATTTGTAACAGGAACCATCCCAAACTACCTGTCTGTATAGCAGGTCCCCATTAAAGGTTTATACTTACCTCTCCTGTGAGCAGTGCATTGAAACTTAGCTCTATTAAGGACAGGGGCGTCCCTAGGATTGGTGTCACCCGGTGCGATAACACTTGGTGACACCCTCTCCGACGATCCCCACAGAATGGATCGGATCTGCGGATTGAGCATAATGGATCGGACTCCGATCCATTCTGCGGGATTGTCGGCTTTCTTTACAACTTACCTTTTCGTGGAGAGGGTCCGGTGTCACCCCGTATAGGTCGCATGCTGACGATCCTCACATAATGGTTCGGATCTGCGGATTGAGCATAATTGATCGGAGTCACTCCTTGCACCTGCCTCAGGACGCCACTGTTAAGGACACAGGAGAGGTTGAGGAGAGAGTGCAGAGTGTATGATGACAAATAGTATGTTCAGGAGAGGAGAGTGAAGTGTATGATGACAGGAAGTATGTTGGAGACAGGAGTGCAAAGTGTATGATGACAGGTGGAATGGAGAGGAGAGGAGTGCTGAGTTTTTGATGAGAAGTAGTATGTTGAGGGAAGGAGTGCGAAATTAAATATGACAAATTGTATGTTGAGGAGAGAGTGTGAAGTGTATGATGGCAAGTAGTATCTTCAGGAAAGGACAGTGGAGTGTATGATGACAGGTAGTATGGTAAGGAGAGGAATGCAGAATGTATGATGGCAGATAGTATGTTGAGGAGGAGTACAGGTGTATGATGGCAGGTGTATGGCAGGGTGTATGATGTAGTATGGTGAGGAGAGGAATGCAGAATGAATGATGGCAGATAGTATGTTGAGGAGAGTGCAGGGTGTATGATGGCAGGTAGTATGTCGAGTCCAGAGTGTATGATGGCAGATATTATGTTCAGGAGAAGAGTTCGGAGTGCATGATGACAGGTTGCATTTTCAGAAGTGCAGAGTGTATGATGGCAGATAGTATGTCGAGGAGAGGAGTGCAGAGTGTATGATCATAAGTTAAGGACAGAAGTACAGAGTGTATTGAGGTAGATGGTGTGAATGGACCCTAATTCTACACTCCATCACTGCACTGACATGTATGGTGACAATATCTGATGGTACCTGCAGACCCTCAGTCCAAGGGCCTCCATTCCTCCTGCACACACACCCTATTCTGCACCTTTCTGCCACCTTAACACTTTGTCTAGCTGGCACCTGAACTCCTTTACTTACTGGTGACATCACACACCAATCCCTCTAGCTTACCTCTTCAAGTAAAAATGCTCCACCCCCTCATCTGAGCTCCTCCTACAACAGGCACTAGAGGTAAATATTGGATATTTAGGAGAGGAGTGCGCAGTGTATGATGACAGGTGGTATGTTTGGGAAAGGAGTCCAGAGTGTATGATGAAAGGAAGTATGTTCAGGAGGGGAACAGAGTGTATGATGGCAGATAGTATGTTGAGGGGAGGAGTGTGGAGAATATGATGACAGATAGTATGCTTGGGAAAGGAGTGCAAAGAAGTGTATGATGAAAGGAAGTATGTTCAGGAGGGGAACAGAGTGTATGATGGCAGATAGTATGTTGAGGGGAGGAGTGTGGAGAATATGATGACAGATAGTATGCTTGGGAAAGGAGTGCAAAGAAGTGTATGATGAAAGGAAGTATGTTCAGGAGAGGAATACAGAGTGTATGATGGTAGATAGTATGTTGAGGAGAGGAGTGTGGAGAATATGATGACAGATGACAGTATGCTTGGGAAAGGAGTGCCGAGTGTATGATGACAGGTAGTATGTTGAGGGGTGTGAAGTGTATGATGGCAGATAGTATGTTTGGGAAAGGAGAGTGGAGGGTATGGTTACAGATAATATGCTGAGGAGAGGAGTGTAGAATGTATGAAGGCAGACAGTATATCGAGGAGAGGAGTTCAGCATGTATGATCATAAGTAGTATGTTGAGGAGTACGGAGTGTATTGAGGTAGATGGTGTGAATGGTCCCTAATTCTGTGCCCCATCGCTGCAGACACATGTATGGTGACAATATCTGATGCTATCTGCAGACCCTCAGCACCAGGGCCTACCACCCTACTGCACACTCACCCTTCTTCTGCACCTTATTGCCATCTTAATACTTTGTCTAGCTGGCACCTGAACTCCTCTCCTTCCATTTGGCATGGCACACCATCCCTCCAGCTTACATTTCTATTCACATCCAGCAACAAGGAAGTACTGTCAATTTCAAACTTCTCGGCGGGAACTCCGAAGCCGCCACCTGGAAGTAGAGATGCTCCCCCCCCCTTCATGGAGCTCCTCCTATAGCCGGCACTAGAGGGAAATATTTATTATTCAAGAGAGGAGCGTGGAGTGTGTGATGACAGATTGTATGTTCAGGAAAGGAGTGCATAGTGTATGATGACAGGTAGTATGTTTAGGAAAGGAGGTTGGAGTGTATAATGACAGATTGTATGTTCAGGAGGGGAATGCAGAGTGTTTGATGACAGGAAGTATGTTCAGTAGAGGAATGCGGAGTGTATGTTGGCAGACAGCATTCTAAGGAGAGGAGTGTGGAGAGTATGATGACAAGCAGTATGATCAGGAAAGGAGTAGAGTATATGCTGACAGGTGGTATGTTCAAGAGAGGAGTGCAAAGTGTATGATGTCACATAGCATGTTAAGCAGAGTGTGCAGAGTGTATGATTACAGGGAGTATGTTTGGGAAAGGAGTGATGAGTGTACAATGACAGGTTGTATATTTTGGAAAGGAGAGCAGATTGTATGGTGACAGATAGCATGTTGAGAAGTGTGGAGTGTATGATAACAAGTAGTATTTTTGGGAAAGGAGTGTGGAGTGTATGATGACAGATAGTATGCTAAGGCGAGGAATGTGGAGTGTATGATGATAAGAAGTATGTTGAGGACAGGAGGACAGAGTGTATTGAGGTAGACTGTGTGAATGGGTCTAATTCTGTGCTCCATCATTGCAGTGACATGTATGATGACAATATCTGATGATATCTGAAGACATTCACTACCAGGGCCTACCACTCTCCTGCACACTCAACCATCTTCTGCACCTTTCTGCCACCTTAACACTTTGTCTAGCTTGTATCTGAACTCCTCTCCTTCCTGCTGACATTGCGCACCATCTCTCCAACTTACCTCTTCATTCATATCCTGCAGCAAAGAAGTTCTGTAGATTCCATACTTCCCGTCGGTAACGTCGAGGCCGGAACCTGAAAATAGAGATGCTCCGCCCCTCCTTCAAGCTCCTCCTACAGCAGGCACGAGAGCGTTATATTGAATGTCCAGGAGAGGAGTGCGGACTGTATGTAGACAGATAGTATGTTGAGGAGAGGAGTGTATGATGACAGGCAGTATATTTGGGAAAGAAGCACAGAGTGTAAGATGACAGGTATTATGTTCAAGAGAGAAGTATGGAGTGTATGATGAAACATAGTATGTTGAGGAGAGGAGTGTGGAGCGTATGATGACAAGTAGTTTGTTCAGAAGAGGAGTGCGGAGTGTATTATGGCAGCTAGCATGCTGAGGAGAGGAGTGCGGAGTCTATGATGGCAGATAGCATAATAGAGGAGAGGCGGGCAGAGTGTGTAATGACAGGGAATATGTTTGGGAAAGGAGTGCGGATAGATCGTGAAAAAGGGCCCTAGCAATGACAATATCTGATGTTATCCGCAGACACAGAGCAAAAGGGCCTCCCACCGTCCTGTACACTCACTCCTCTTCTGCACCTTTTTGCCACCTTAACACTTTGTCTAGCTGGCACCTGAACTCCTCTCCTTCCTGCTGACATCACACACCATCCCTCTAGCTTATCTCTTTATTCACATTTTACAGAGGACAAGTTTTGTAGATTCCATCCTTCCCGGCGGTAACTCCGACACCCATATTTAGAGATGCTTCGCCTCTTCCTCTGAGCTCCTCCTACAGGCAGTACTAGAGGGGAAATATAGTATGTTTAGGAGAGGAGTGCAGAGTGTATGATGGCAGGTAGTATGTTAAAGAGAGGAGTGCGGAGTTTATGATGATAGATAGCATAGTTGAGGAGAGGACTACGGAGGGTATGATTACAGTTAGTATGTGTGGGAAAGGAGTGCAGGATGTATGATGACAGGAAGTATGTTCAGGAGAAGCGTGCGGAGTGTATGATGACAGGAAGTATGTTCAGGGGAGGAGTGCGGGAGTATATGATGGAAGATAGTAAGTTAAGGAGAGGAGTGCGAAGTGTAGCTGGCACCCGAACTCCTCTCCTTCCTGTTGACATCACACACCATCCCTGCAGCTTACCTCTCCATTCACATCCTGCACAGAAAAAGTTCTGTAGATTCCATATTTCCAGACGGTAACTCCGAGATGGACACCTGGAAGTAGAGATGCTCCACCCCTTCCTTTGAGCTCCTCCTACAGCCGGCTCTAGAGAGAAAAGTAATATATTCAGTAGAGGAGTGCGGAGTACATGGTGACAGACAGTATGTTTGGGAAAGGAGTGCAGAATGATGATGACAGGCAATATGCTTGGGAAGGGAGTGCGGAGTGAATTATGAAAGGTAATATATTCAGAAGAGGAGTGCAGAGTGTATGATGATAGGTAGTATGCAGAGGAGAGGAGTGCACGATGATATGTAGTATGTTGAAAAGAGGAGTGTGGAGTGTATGAGGAAAGGTAGTATGTTGAGGAGAGGAGTCAGAGTGAGATGACAGGTAGTATGAGCGGAGTGCATAATGACATGATGAAGTAGTAGTTCTGAGAGAGGGAGAGTGCAGGAGTGTTCTGATGTGCAGAGTGCATGATAGCATGTTGAGGAGAAGAGTGCGGAGTGTATGATGGCAGACAGTATGTTGAGGAGAAGAGTGCGGAGTGTATGATGGCAGACAGTATGTTGAGGAGATGAGTGTGGAGTGTATGATGAGAAGTAGTATATTTGGGACAGGAGAGCAGAGGGCATAATGAAAGGTAGTTTGTTCAGCAGAGGTGTGCGGAGTGTATGATGAAAGGTAGTATGTTCAGGAGAGGTGTGCGGAGTGTATGATGAAAGGTAGTATGTTCAGGAGAGGTGTGCGGAGTGTATGATGAAAGAAAGGTAGTATGTTCAGGAGAGGTGTGCATACTGTATGATGAAAGGTAGTATGTTCAGGAGAGGTGTGCGGAGTGTATAATGGCAGACAGTATGTTGAGGAGATGTGTGCGGAGTGTATGATGAGAAGTAGTATATTTGAGACAGGAGAGCAGAGGGCATAATGAAAGGTAGTATGTTCAGGAGAGGTGTGTGGAGTGCGGAGGTGTGTGGAGTGTATGTATAATGGCAGACAGTATGTTGAGGAGATGAGTGCGGAGTGTATGAATGAGAAGTAGTATATTTGGGACAGGAGAGCAGAGGGCATAATGAAAGGTAGTTTGTTCAGCAGAGGTGTGCGGAGTGTATGATGACAGGTAGTATGTTCAGAGAGGTGTGCGGAGGTGTGCGGAGTGTATGATGAAAGGTAGTATGTTCAGCAGAGGTGTGCGGAGTGTATGATGAAAGGTATGTTCAGGAGAGGTGTGCGGAGTGTATGATGAAAGGTAGTATGTTCAGGAGAGGTGTGCAGAGGGTATGATGAAAGGTAGTTTGTTCAGGAGAGGTGTGCGGGAGTGTATGATGAAAGGTAGTATGTTCAGGAGAGGTGTGCAGAGTGTATGATGACAGGTAGTATGTTCAGGAGAGGTGTGCAGAGTGTATGATGACAGGTAGTATGTTCAGGAGAGGTGTGCGGAGTGTATGATGGCAGACAGTATGTTGAGGACAGGAGTGCGGAGTGCATAAAAATAAATGGTGAGAACAGGCCCTCATTCTGTGCTCCATCATTGCTGTATCATGAATGATGATAAAATCTGATGTCATCTGAAGACACTAAGCACCAGAGCCTACCACCCTCTGGCAAACTCACACCTGTTCTGACTAGCTGACTAGGGAAATGTTGTATGTTGAGGAGAGGAGTGAGGACTGTATGATGACACGTAGTATGTTGAGGAGAGGAGTGCTGAGCGTATGATGACAGGAAGTATGTACCTTCCTGCACACTCACCCCTCTTCTGCACCTTTCTGCCACCTTAACACTTAACACTGTCAGGGTAAAGAAGCTTCGTGTCGGCGCACATCTATGCGCCAACGCCGGGCACCCGTCAGCCGTGCCAGTGTGCATGAGCACGCGGTTGCACGCACGCATGCCGGCGTGCACAGGCGAGTTATTTAAACCCCTGCTGCACTTAGAATGGTGCCTTCTGGTCTACTTTGTTCTGTGCTTGTATCCTGACTCCTATTATCTATCTGATTTGACCTGACTACGACTGAACTCCGCCTGCACCAATCCGGCTCATCCCTTGACTATCAGCTTGCCTGCTCCTCTGTACCTGATCCACCCGATTGATTCTGATCCGGCTTGTCTGGCGCTTCTACCTCTCCTGCCTGTGACTATCTCTAGCTGCCAGCTGCCTCAATTGTCCATACTTCCGCTACACCTTCCTGCTGCTGCACCTGCTCACCTGCATCCGCAACCGACATGCATCCTGGTCTTCCAGTGATCACCTGCCAACGGTCACCGCAGACCCGTCAGGCACTCGTGCCCCTCCTAGCTCGATACCTTCTATCAGGGGTCCCAAGAGGGAGTGGTAAGAGGAAGCCCTCTCTCAACGTCAGGCTCCCCAACCAGTACGTTAAAACACTCTCGCTGACACCTGAACTCCTCTCCATCCTCATTGCACACCATCCCTCAAGTTTACCTCTACAATCACATCCTGCAGCGACAAAGTTCTATAGATTACATCCTTCCTGGTGGTAACTCAGAGGCCGGCTCGAGGAAGTGGAGCTGTTCTGCCCCTTCCTCCGAGCTCCTCCTTTAGCCAGCACTAGAGGGAAATGTTGTATGTTGTGTAGAGGAGTGCGGAGTGTATGATGACAAGCAGTATGTTTGGTAAAGGAGCACAAAGTGTATTATGACAGGTAGTATGTTCAGGAAAGGAGTGTGGAGTGTATGATGACAGGTAGTATGTTCAGGAGAGGAGTGGGGAGTGTATGATGACAGGTAGTATGTTCAGGAGAAGAGTGCGAAGTGTATGATGACAGATAGTATGTTCTGGAGAGGAGTGGGAGTGTATTATGATAGGTAGTATGTTCAGGAGAGGAGTGTATGATGGCAGGTAGTATGTTTATGAGTGGAGTGGGTTGTGTATAATGATAGGTAGTATGTGTGGGAAAGGAGCACAGAGTGAATGAGGACAGGTAATATGTTCAGGAGAGGAATGTAAAGTGAATAGCGACGGATAGTATGTTGAGGAGAGTAGTGAAGGGTGAATGATGACAGGTAGTATGTTTAGGAGAGGATTGTGGAGTTTATGATGGAAGTAGTCAGTTGAGGAGAGGAGTGCGGAGTGTATGAAGGTAGATGGAGCGAATGGGCCCTAATTATATTCTCCATCACTGCAGTGACATGTATTGGTGACAATATCTGATGTTATCTGCAGACACTCAGCAACAAGGCCTACAACCCCCTACTCACTCACCCCTCTTCTGCACCTTTCTGCCACCTTAAGAGTTTGTACAGCTGGCACCCGAACTCCTCTCCTTCATGTTGACATCGCACACCATCCCTGCAGCTTACCTTTCCATTCACATTCTGCACAGAAAAAGTTCTGCAGATTCCATCCTTCCCGGCGGTAACTTCGAAATCGACACCCGTAAGTAGAGATGTTCTGCCTCTTCCTCCGAGCTCCTCCTACACCCGGCACTAGAGAGAAAAGTAATATGCTCAGTAGAAAAGTGCGGAGTATTTGGTGAAAGGTAGTGTGTTCATGTGAGGAGTGCGGAGAGTATGATGACATGTAGTGTGTTCAGGAGAGGAATGCAGGGTCTATAATGACAGGAAATATGTTCAGGAGAGGAGTGCAAAGTGTATGATGATAAAAAGTATGCTTGGGAAGGGAGTACAGAGTGTATGAGGACAGGTAGTATGCAGAGGAGAAGAGTGCGGAGTGCATGATGATATGCAGTATGTTGAAAAGAATTGTGCGGAGTGTATGATGACTGTAAGTATGTTCAGCAAAGGAGTGTGGAGGAAATGATGAAAGGTAGTATGTTTGGGAAAGGAGTGCGGAATGTATGATGAAAGATAGTATGTTGAGTGGCTATGGCCACTGACAATCACATGCTAAAAAAATGGCTGACCGTATCCAAGTCAATCAATGGATCAACTTTGGTGCAATCAGCCTGCCCATTGATGGATCGAATTGCGGCTGGTTCCTGCTGAACTGGCCAAGATTCAATCGATCTATGACCGATCTTTAAACTTTTTCAGGCTCCTTTTGCTTTACTACTGTGCTCCTTCATTTCCATCCAATGCTCCTGATTTCAGAGAATGTCAAAGCAGACATTTGCAGGTTGAATCAGCATTCTTCTTTTAGAGCTGGTCAGTGGTAGCCAATAGTAGACTGAGCGTACCACAAAGTTCTGCTGTGCATACTCTGTACTGTCTGCAACAAGAATGTCTGCCTGCCACTAATGGAAGCATTAAACTAAAGCATAACTAGCTGAGCAGTTGAATGTATGGTTGAAACATGGGAACTGTTTTATCTGCCAGGGTAGTTGCATAGTTTTGCGTTGGACCCCTTCTGTCTGACAGTTGACAAGATAATAGGAGCACCTCTTTAATTTACTTTTTAACTGTATTGTCACTTTTCCAGTCACATTTAAGAATACCACAGTATACGCTTGTGTTCCTATCACACAGCATACCTAGATAGATATACAGACAGTACCTTGGAAAAAGTATTCATACCCCTTGAAAGTTTCCTCATTGGCATGTTACAACAAAAAACGTAAATGTATTTTATTGGGATTTTATGTGATAGACCAACACGAAGTGGCACATAATTGTGAAGTAGAAGGAAAATGATAAATTTCAAAACTTTTTTACAAATATGTGAAAAGTGTGGTGTGCATTTGTAGTCGGCCCCCCTGAGTCAATACTTTGTAGAACCGCCTTTCGCTGCAAGTCTTTTTGGAGATGTATCTACCAGTTTTGCACATCTAGAGTGAAAGTTTTGCCCATTCTTTCCATCCAATCTGACAGAGCTTGAGCTATTTTGTAGAGTGTCCATGAACAGCAATTTTCAAGTCTTGCCACAGATTGTCAATTGGATTTAGGTCTGGGCTTTGACTGAGCCATTCTAACACATGAATATGCTTGATCTAAAATATTCCATTGTAGCTCTGGCTGTATGTTTAGGGTCGTTGTCCTGCTGGAAGGTGAACCTTCACCCCGATCTTGTCTTTTTTTTTTTTTTTTTTTTGCAGACCCTAACAGATTTTCTTCTAAGATTGCCCTGTATTTGGCTCCATCCATTTTCCCATCAACTCTGACCAGCTTCCCAGTCCCTGCTGAGGAAAAGCATCCCCACTACTTGATGCTACCACCACCATGTTTCATGGTGGGTGTGTTTAGGGTGATGTGCAGTATTAGTGTTCTGCCACACATTGTGTTATGCTTTTATGCCAAAAAGTTAAATTTGGTGTCATCTGACCAGATCACCTTCTTCCACATGTTTGCTGTGTCCCCTACATGGCTTCTCGCAAGCTGCAAACGGGACTTCTTATGGCTTTCTTCTTGCCACTCTTCCATAAAGGCCATATTTGTGGAGTGCATGACTAATAGTTGTCCTGTTTTTGTTGTGTTTTTTTTGTATTTTTTCATTTTCGGATGATGGATTGAACAGTGCTCTATGAGATGTCTCAAGCTTTGGATATTTTTTTTTTTTTTTTTATATAACCTAACCCTGCTTTAAACTTTTCACAACGCTATCCCTGACCTGTCTGTGTTCCTTGGCTGTCATGATGCTGTTTATTCACCAATGTTCTCTAACAAACCTCTGAGGGCTTCACAGAGCAGCTATATTTATACTGAGAATAAATTACACACAGGTGGACTCTATTTACTAATTAGGTGACTTCTGAAGGCAATTTGTTCCACTAGATTTTAGTTATCAGAGTAAAGGGCGCTGAATACAAATGTACACCACACTTTTCAGAGACATTTGTAAAAAAAAAAAAAAATGTAGAAAGCCATTTATCAGTTTCCTTCCACTTCACAATTATGTGCCACTTTGTATTGGTCTATCGCATACAATCCCAATAAAATACATTTATGGTTTTGTAACATGGCAAAGGTGGGAAATTTCTAGGGGTATGAATACTTTTCTGTGTGTGTATATTATACACACACTATAGTCTCCAAAGTATTGGGACGCCTGCCTTTACACGCAAATAAACTTTAATAGCATCCCTTAGTCTGTAGGGTTCAATATTGAGTTGGCCCACTCTTTGCAGCTATAACAGCTTCAACTCTTCTGGAAAGGCTGTCCACAAGGTTTAGGAGTGTGTCTATGGGAATGTTTGACCATTCTTTCAGTAGCGCATGTGTGAGGTCGGACAAGAAGGCCTGGCTCACAGTCTCTGCTCTTTCATTCATGTTACAACCAAAAATGTAAATGTATTTTATTGGGATTTTATGTGATAGACCAATACAAAGTGGCACATAATTGTGAAGTGGAAGGAAATTGATAAATGGTTTTCAAAATTTTTTTACAAATATCTGAAAAGTGTGCATTTGTATTCAGCTCACTTTACTCTGATATCCCTAACTAAAGTCTAGTGGAACCAATTGCCTTCAGAAGTCGCCTAATTCGTAAATAGAGTCCACCTCTTTGTAATTTAATCTCAGTATAATATACAGCTGTTCTGTGAAGCCCTTATAGGTTTGTTACAGAACATTAGTGAACAAACCGCATCATGAAGGCCAAGTAACACATCAGATAGGTCAGAGATGAAAGTTGTGGAGACATTTAAAACAGGGTTAGGTTATAAAGAAAATTCCAAGCTTTGAACATCTCACAGAGCATCTAATAATGCTGGCACAACTGTAAACCTACCAAGACATGGTCATTCACCTAAACTGAAAGGCTGGGCAAGGAGAGCATTAATCAGAGAAGCAGCCAAGAGGCCCATGGTAACTCTGGTGGAGCTGCAGAGATGCACAGCTCAGGTGGAAGAATCTGTCCACAGGACAACTATAAGTCGTGCACTCCACAAATCTGGCCTTTATGGAAGAGTGGCAAGAATAAAGCCATTGTTGAAAGAGCCATAAGAACTCCCGTTTGCAGTTTGGGAGAAGCCATGTGGGGGACACAGCAAACATGTAGAAAAAGGTGCTCTGGTCAGATGAGACCAAAATTTAATTTTTTGGCCTAGCTAAAATAGAATAGTTTAGATCAAAGCATATTCACATGTTAGAATGGCCTAGTCAAAGTCTAGACCTAAATTCAATTGAGAATCTGTGGCAAGACTTGAAAATTGATGTTCACAGACCCTCTCCGTCCAATCTGACAGTGCTTGAGCTGTTTTGCAAAGAAGAATGGGCAAACATTTCACTCTCTAGATGTGCAAAGCTGGTAGAGACATACCGAAAAGACTTGCAGCTGTATTTGCAGTGAAAGGTGGTTCTACAAAGTATTGACTCGGGGGCTGAATACAAATGCACGCCACACTCTTCAGATATTTATTTGTAAAAAATGTTGAAAACCATTTATCATTTTCTCTCCACTTAACAATTATGTGCCACTTTGTGTTGGTCTATCACATAAAATACACTTATGTTTTTGGTTGTAACATGACAAAATGTTGAACATTTCAAGGGGTATGAATACTTTTTCAAGGCACTGTATCCTTTGAAGCTGAGTGAACTGAACAATGACTTCATCAACTAGGTAGATTGCTGTGTGTGTGTACATTCTGCATTCTTTCTTCCATCATTCAGTCAAAATGAAGCATCTTCTTGCTGCTGTTACCGCTTTGAAAGCACTTTGTAGATTCCTTATCCGGTTCTGCTTCACTGCCTCCTTTTGGTGACTTTATCGTCTCCACCTATCAATGAACCTCTTCAGCTTCAGTTTGTGAGTACACACAAGTGTGGATGTTCACTCAAGTACACACACAAGTTTGTAAGTACTCACTTAGGACTTAGTTGTTTTTCACTGTGTGGTTCAACATGTCTTTTCAGATATGTACAGAGGACAGTCCCTCCGAAACGAGGGACCGTTACTCCCTTGTTTCTTGGGGTGGTATCCTCCAGAAGGAACCAATGCTTGTAACCTCGATGCTGGGACCCCATTACTATAGCGTCATCCTCATTGGAGTTACAGGCCTGTGTCACACTAGTGCTGGCCATGCGGCCTGCGTCTGCTTGGGCAGGCATTCTGTTCATTTGAATGGGCTTCTGTGCTGCATGTCCTGCACAAAAAAAAGGTGCATGCACCTTTTCACAAATGCATCCGCAGGGAAACCACATGGTCTTTTTGACCATGCATTCCTGCACCCATGCTGTGGGCTGAGATGTGTGGGGGTGCTATGTCCCCAAGACCATTAATATCTACTTCAGATTTTGTTTTAGTGGTTTGTTTGCAAATATTGCAGCAATCTTCTCAGAGATTTGAAGTATGCTATGGTATCCTCCACAAAAGAATCCAATTATGATCCTTTTGGACTTCCATCTCTAAGTGTGCCTGAGACCCCCTTCACAACCTTCTATTATAAAGCTTGTGTTCAGCTGATTCAGCTTTATAATTCTCTGATGCAGTGCTTTATCCCCTGCAGTTGTAGAGTTAGCCTGCTGTTCCCGACATAGAGGCCTACCCATTACATTTGGTGTGTAAAACCTTCTTTGAGGAATTGAAACAACCTGTGGAAATATGGCTTCCTCCTAACAATGTGAATTGTGTGATCT